AAGAACAACTGTTACATTGGTTAATTGTCAATTATTCTGCTTTTTGTGGAGATTATTAAGTTTTTAATTGAGATTATGAACCGATTGATGTTAGACCACCATTGAAAACATGGAAGCACTGGACAGGCCGTTTCATCCTACAGTGGGATTCCTCAGCTGTGAGCAACCACTTCATTCTACTTTAAATCGGAAAGTGTTGCTGAAATGTTGTCCATCCTAAGTTTATCAGTTCGAGATGTATTGTTTTTGACTATTCTCAAATTATCTTTAATCTATTTTAAACACTTATATATGGAGAGAATAATTCGGGTTTTGTGTTTTTGTTTTTTCGAACTGGAACTCTCGTCGTCAAAATATGAGTTTTGTGATCTATCATCCCCAACACTAATGAATTCCGACTGTTCTCGATGATTACTCGTAACTTGAAACTGAATGTGATGTAAATAATTCTCTATATATTTAACTGAGATACTGTCTAAACTTGTTTTAATTTAATCCGTTTCTAATATTTACTGTGAAGGAATGGTTTACATTTAGTGACGAAACATCTTAAGAACAACTTCTTTTACTCGTTGTGATCTAACCCAAATTATACTTATCACTATTTTATCAAGTGTCTCACATCTATTTTACATGGACAAGTGATCTAATTAATTATGCGAGAGTATCAATTGTGTCAGGATGTGAACAAAACTATGCAACTGGTGATCATATAATTAAATGATGTAGAAAAGTGTGAAAGGAAAATGGGAACAGTAGATGAATTATCGATGAGTTTTGGTAGTGAAAATTACTGCGAGAATGAAATCCTGTAGTTACTCAATGAACTTGTTGAATACTCTACAGATGAAAATGTGTACAACCATAACTGAATGTGGTTAGTTTGAAATAACGATGAACAATAACTAACTGTTTAGAGGATTGATTAATGTGTGCTCGATAAAGAGGAGGAGACAATGGTCTAGTTATTTGTTTATCTTTTTTGATAATTACCTTGTAAACAATCATTCACAATGGAATGTATCATTGTTGTGAATAGAGGAAGTAGTAATATTTCATCACTATACTTACTCATGTAAACAACATGTATCGAAATTTGTATGAAATGAAATTCTTGTTGTTGACTAAACAATGTTAACATGTGAGTAACGTGATAGAGAAATTGGAAGGATGTCTCATTTGTGGGAGTGCGTGTTTATGTTACAAGTGAAATTGTTGTTGTTGAAGTGATTGAAAATGTATTGGAAGTGACAATTCGAGATGTGCCAGTCTGATATATTTCATCATTAACACAATTCGATTTGAATTTTGGCAAGTGATTTTGAGTTGGATCGTTTGTGTTGATGGGAATTTATTATGGTGAACAGTTCAGCCTGATGTGTTCCAACCTCTATTGACGGTGAATATTTATGCATGTTTTGAGAGCTGTTGTTTATATCACTCATGCTATTGGAAGTGGACACATCCAATCGTTTTATTCTGCTAACATTTGGTTAGGTATGTTGACAAAGTAAAATGCTACTTCTCTTTCTTGATTTATATTAACATTGCTCAACTGCACACCTCGATTCGTATGTTTCTGCATGAATCTCACTGAACTGTTATCATGCAGCTGTAAATTTGATCTGTGTATGAATTAGTGTATGAGTAAATGTTCGAGACTGTGGAATGGTCTACCGCAATCTGTCCATCGATTCAAAAACACCACCATAATTTGTTGGTTACATCGTTGATCATTTTTTCCAAACCGAATTGCATTTACATGCATGAACTGATTGTTTACGTAGAATGCTAAACGAACTTGACAGAACTGTTTGAAAGCACTTGTTTAGTTGAACCAGTTAAATGTGTTCTTTTAACGTAGTTTTTCTTATCGGAGTCACTACAACGACGGTTTCTATTATTTATGTGTGAAATGGTGGATTTACATATTTTGTATGGAAAAATGGATTAATGCGCATGATTGAAATCCATTGAATTTACTTACAATTATTGAGGTAGTGATAGATAGGGAAGAAATGTAATTGCATCATTTGCATCATTGTAAGTGGAATCGATTGGAATTAGTTGATTCACTTATCCATTTTCACCTGTTTCCATCTCATAACAGTTGTTTACATTGTTCAGTGTATATTGTATTAGGTGACCAAATTTGTTGATAATGTTGATAATGTGCGATCAATGTGATATTGTGTGTGATGGATATTTTAGGCGGTGTGAATGATAATACAGTAGTATGTGAATTTATCTCACACATCGTATAAGTCGGATTTTGTTGTGACAAATGAGTGAACAGTGATAGATTTGTTGTAAATGTACGAGTATTGACGGTGATAGTGATGGTGATGGTGTGTATGAATTGGGTGTTTGATGTCCTACCTGTTTCTATTATCAATCTAACCGAAGTATGAATTTCTGGAGACAATCGATTTGTTGACAGAATGATGTTGGTGTGTATTTGGAGGGGATGTATGTCATGAGATCAATGTTTCTGTGAATGTTGGATTAATTGTTCTGGAAAATGAGCTTAATTGAAGTGTGGATTTCGAGATTGGTTCAGTTGTCTTATTGGTGTAATTCACTTTTAAATAAAACGTAGTGAACGGTTGGTCATTTTCCTTCTTTGTGTACACTTTGATTTACTGAACGTGTCTGTGTGGACATAGTCAATATGATGAGTGTAGGAATGATGTTTAATACCTGACAATCTGTTCTCTTTGAAACTTTCAATTCACACATTCATTCATTCATTTCCATATATGTGCAGTGATTACTATTCTGTTGTCTGAACGAGTTTTTCAAATATGGTGATTGATGACATGTGTGAATTTTTAATTTTGCATGAGGATTGATGAAATCCCAACGAAATCAGTTGACGACATACATCGTCATTGGAGCTGTGTGGTATGTACGATATTGTGTTGATGTGTTCATTGGTCATGAAATTAGTGCTTGTCATTTAGTTGATGAAAATGATTGTGAATTGTACATTTTCACTGAATGATATTGAGAAAGCAAGTTTATCTTTAATAATCACAGAAATGTATATTTGGATGATGCTGCAATTGTCATATGTGTTATCAATTAATATTTCATGACTTTATTATGATGAACTCGACTTTTGAGTGGAATGTGTGAATGTAATGTACAGTTTGTATGCAACTAGTTGATTTGATCGTCACAGACGACAAAGCGACATTTCGAAATACAACACGGAGAACATCAACTCAATCGCACTTGATGGAGAAGTTCTGGAATGCGTGGAATCTTTCAATTGTATGGTTTGCACCATGGATGTACAAGGATGATCTTATGCATACTTTAAATGGAGGGTTAGGATAGTAAGGGAAACGTTCCCATGGAACTCATGACAACAGTCAAATCGCACGCGAGGCCGATATGTCCTGGGTTCGAATCTCGCAAGGCATTATCGTGGATGCGCACTGCTAAGAATTTCCATACTAGGACGAAACGGCCATCAAGTGCTTCCAGGTTTTCCATGGTGGTCTAGCTTCAGTTGACTCATGATCTCAACTATTAAAAATTGTTAAAGTATCCACAAAACCCCTTCAGTGCCTACTTACGTTTAACTTCCTCTGCATCTAATGTACTTACTTATTTACTGATGCCTGTTTCTCTCAATGGAGCGTAGGCTGCCTACCAGTATTCTCCGACCCACTCTGTCCTAGGACTTCCTTTCCCGTTCTACCAAATGTTTGTTTCTTTTTTCTCATGTCTGTCTTCATTTCTCGATGTAATGTGTTCTTTGGTATTCCACTCTTTCTTCGGCCTTGAGGATTCCATATGAGGGTTTGCCTTGTGATACATTTGATTGCTTTCCTCAATGTGTGTCCTATCCACTTCCACCACTTCTTCCTGATTTCTTCCACTGGAATCTGGTCTGTTCTCTCTCATAGTAGGTTGTTGCTGATATTGTCTGGTCAAGGGATCCAAAGTATTTTACGTAGACAACTGTTGATAAACACTTGTATCTTGTGGATGATGGCTTTTGTAGTTCTCCAAGTTTGCGCCACATATAGTGGAGCTATCTTAACATTTGTATGGAAAATTCTGACTTTGGTGTTTTTTGATAGACAGTTGTTTTTATTTCCAGATATTTTTCAATTGTAGATATCCTACTTTTGTTTTATCGATCCGCGCCGTCACATCTGCATGTATCTAATGTGGTTCACTACAATATTTTTGATTCTGATAACGATCAGTGAATATCCTTTTTATTTATTTATTTTAACACATAGATATTGGTATAAGGAGGCACCAAATGCATATGCACTACACAGATCTCTTTTGATTTGTGTGAGGGCTGTGATACTGCCCAGGTGCCCAAACAGAAGCAGGTGGTTTTCTTAGGGGGCCACACCCGGAGCCTTCGATCAAAAGGTCTGATCCACAAGGCAGTGGGGCATCGTGAGGAGATGCAGTCCTACGGAAGCCGGTGACCAACTATTGATTCATACGCCATTTGTTGCTTTAGGATATTGGAGCCCATGTTCACCATTGATTTGGAATCAGGGTTTTCCAACTACCCTAGGTGGACTCTCCGTGTCCATTAACCCGGTTTCAAGCGCCAGACATTCGCTTTTCATCCCCTCAATTTCGTAAACAACATCGTGGCTTTGAGAAGGCAATGAGTAGGACTTCCCTGGCAGAGGCTATATACGCATGGCCATGTGAGAGTATTTCAAGAGAGTGAGCGGATTCTCCTCACTCTTCGACGTACCAGGGCATTTGAGGGCTTTAAATTCACATTCTATAACTAATAGTTCTTATCAAAGATCTTACAACGCCATAACTTTCCATTATATGTATTCATTAAAACATCAAGAAATAAATATATTTCCCAACAAAAGAAATTTTGTTGTTGTGACTATTTTCATATCTATTGGGAAATAAAATATAACACACAAATAGATCGTTAAACAGACAGACAGATGGATAGAGAGACAGACAACATATAGTGTTTGTTCAAAGCATACAAACAAACTTACTGGAACTATGAATAATATGAATAACCAACAAGTTCCCCAAAAATGAGAAGTTTATTATTATTACCCGTTATGTATATATATGTGTGTCTTATGATTGTTTGCATGTTTACCCTTTATAAGGTCAACAATAATAATAAACAATTTGATTGGTTAAATGAATATCATTTGGGAAAAAAAATTCAAAAAAAAAAAAGAAAATTTCCACCTTCACTGAGTATAAAGAAAAATTAAAATAACAAAGGCATTGAAATAAACACTTTTTGATCTTATCATTATAACATTATACAATTGTATTATATATGCTTAATAATATTGTGGATCACATTTACCATTGATCATTTAATAATATGGATAATTATGAAATAACTGATGATTTTGAACGATTTTGTCATATAGCACAACGTTCACCAAGAGATAGTTTAGCACCAACAATACAAATAACTGAACCAACTTATCGTGGAAATAATATAACACCTATTAATCAATCAGAATATTTATCAACATTAAATGTGGAATCATTAAAACGTGCATCAAGTTTTAGAGAACCTAAACGACGTAAATCATTTCAACCAAGTAGTTTTAGTGGTGAAATTAGTGCAACTAGATCACCAATTAGATCTAGTCCACAATGGGATCATTCAAATGAATTAAATCAATTTAATTATAGACAAAAACAACAACAACAACGTTCTCGTTATTATAATAATGAATCAAATGATACAAATGTTTTACGAACTAATGATAATACACAAAGATATTGGCAAAATTTAGATACAAGTCGTGAATCTTCAAGTCCTTATTCATGTTCTCCAGCAATGTATAGACTTGGTACTACTCGTGATAGACCAGGATCTATGAAAGAAACTAGTTATAAACGTACAAGAAGTCAAGAAAAACATAAATCAAGACCATCGGCTCCAACATTACATCCAACAAATCATCCATTCTCTCAATATTCACCTAGTCGTCATTCAATCAGTCAGACAGATGAACAAATGTTACGTGTTCGACGTTTTGAACGAAATAAACATGGTGATGTTATTAGTAAAGGTGATCGAGATGTTCCACAGATAGAGATATTTGCATCCAGGAGTCCATCGGGTGATTCACGAGGATCAGTAGTTTATCCACGATCAATACCTGAAAGTAGTCAAAATCTCTCTGAATCATCATTAAGTGATGAGGTGATTGAGATCCCGGCAATCACTACAAATTTGGCTAGTTCACCAAGAGCTTCAAATGATGGTTTACTTAAAATTTACAGTAAGCGTGCAAGTAGTCCAGTTAGAGGATTTATACCAGAGACTAGACTACGTTCTAAATCATGGGCAATTGTAACAGAAAGTCCAGATAATTCACCTAATAAATTAGAATCACCATCTGGTGGTGAACTATTTCTAGATGATCGTTTACTTCAAGTTCAAGTAATTGGTACAGCCAGAGTTGGTAAGACAAGTATGTGTATGCAATTTCATACTTCAGAATCAATTGAAGATCCTAATGATTCAAGTAAGTTATTTATACATGAAATATTTTATTATATCGCGAACCGATCTAAGTCAGATAAGCATTGAAAACCCGAAGGCGACACACCACAGTTTCATCTTAGTATAGGACCCCATAATAGTTCGGATCCACGACCACAGAGCCGAGAACCGAACCCAGGACCTATGGCCTCGCGCAGAATTGTCTAACCTTTCAACCGCTGAACGTCTAGATATGGGACTGAAAATCCTGAGTCCTATTTCCAGTTGTCTGGTCGTGGACGGGCACTACTATGGAGCCCAATACTAGGATATCGCTTTTTGATACAGTACTTTTATCATTTATCGGTCGTAAGGTTTATTATTGTACACTTGGTTCTAGAAATACTGACACAACGTACAGTCTACATTCGTTTTAACATACTGTTTAGTTAAAAATCCTGTTGCTTATAGCCAGAAATCGTTAGTCATGGGAAAATATAGATTTAAAAGGGAAACCATGTGATTTCTTTTATTATTTAACCACTATACTATCGCAGTGAACAAGAACACCAGTGGGCACAGTTGAATGTATTCGAGTACAAAATTACAGAGTATCTCAATAAAATCTGAGAATCATGTAGTAAATCGTTAATTTGCAAAATGTCAATCCATCATATGAAACTTGAATGTTTCTGTTGCAGACACCGATCCATTGTCTCAGATTTCATTGTGCATGCGTTTTCATACCAATTGCGTTCCGTTCTCGTTCTTTCCTCATCGACCTTCTACTGAAATACATTCTATGCCTGACCACCGTTATATACTACTTGTGTGGTTATAAGTATCCCACACCACATTATCGTGATTATGTAATAATCTTCGTTCTCATATTATTACACGGTATTGTTGAGTAACTAAGCCCATATTTTGAAACTTGACAAAATAGAAGAGTTAAGAAACACTTTCTTTTTAATGTTTCATCTTTTATTGTATTTTACGTTGTTTCGTTTTTGAGTTACTAGTTAATTTTGAATTAATTAGAAGTTAAGCTTTCACAAGCGATACCAAATATTCTGTGTTGAATTTCCGCGTAAGAGATCGTGAATAAGCATTGGTGAGAACTCTCAATGTATCTGATCTCTGAAATGGATATTACATATTTGATTTAGGGAATACAATTGGGAGTTTTATATGTTTGTGACGATTGTCTCTCATTGCCTGACAGTTAGTCAGTTAAGATAATCATCCTAATACAAGATCATAAATTTTGATGAAGTAATTTACTAAAACAGTTGAGTAATGTAGTAACAAATGCTTCCTTTCATATTAAACTAGATTATAGTTGTTTGAAGTTAGATATTAACATTGTTGGATACCGGCCAGCTCAGTGGTCTAGTGGTTAAGCGCTTGCGCGCGTGACCGAGTGTCCTGAGTTCAAATCTCGCGAGACGGGATCATGGATGCGCACTGCTTAGGAGTCCCATTCTAGGACAAAACGGCCATCGAGTGCTTCCAGGTTTTCCATGGCGGTTTAGCTTCAACTGATTCATGATCTTAACTATTGAAATTATTACAATCTTCACAAAACCCCTTCTGATAAAAAAATACACTTTATAAAATCTAACAAATAACTAACTTCCTTTTGACGGAGTTTTGTTCTCTGAGCTGGATGGTATGGTCGTGGAGCTTTGATCGTTCTTCTGAACGACATCATCAGCACAAACTTCAGATAGAAGTGAAGTGTCCGAATTTCTCCACATGCGTTTCGAACACTTCACTTCTATCTGAAGTTTGTGCTGATGATGTCGTTCAGAGGAACAATGAAAGCTCCACGACCAAACCATCCAGCTCAGCGAACAAAACTCCATCAAAATCATCCACCTGAGCTACAAATCTTCTCCACCATCTCAAATAACTTCCTTTTTTTTAATCATTTATATTCGCTTTCTAAAATGATTTCCTCATTTACAATTAGTGTTTTTTTATATCAAATCAACGGATTTGTTAAAATTTAATTTTGAATAGAATAAAATACGTAAACATTGATACATTAAATACAAATAAACAAGAACCAACTATCATCATCACTACTACCGTCGTTATTATTATTATTATTATTATTATCCATATTCATTCTGTTTATGAAATGAGTAAACTGGAATATGGGTAAGGGAGGGAATGGGGTAGCGAACGAGTGAACAATTAAGCGAAAATTAACAGTTATTTGTTATTAATACTTCTTTTTTTTTTCGTTGTTTCTTTGTTTACATTATTGTTGGTTTTGTCTTTGCCTTTCTATTTCTTTAAACACAAATGAGATATGAGCCATATAAATCATTTGATTTATGTGAGGGCTGGGATATAGCTCTGTTGCTCAGACAGAAGTAGGTAGTTTTCTTAAGAGGCCACATCCTAGGCCTTTGACCTAGAGGTTTAATTCACAAGGTAGTGAAGCAACGTAAGGAGATTCAGTCCCATGATAGCCATTGACCAACATTAGGTTCATACGCTATTTGTTCCTTCCGGATACTGGAGCTCATATACACCATTTATTTGGAATGATGGTTTTCCAACTCGTCTAGGTGAACTCTTCGTATCCACCAACTCGGTTAAATCGCTAAACATTCACTTTTCATCTTCTCAATTTCGTAAACAACAGTAATGCCGCAAGAAGTCAATGAGTAGGACTTCCATGGCAGTGGTTGTATCCACGTGGTCATGTGAAAGCATTACGAGAGGAAAAGCTGACTCTTTTCACTCTCAGCTGTATCAGGGCATCTGAGGACTTTTCTATCTAAACAAAATAAGTCTAAAACATTTCTTAGTTCTGTGATGCTTATAGTTGTATTCATATAGTTTGATACAATGGGTAATAATAAAAACGTTTTATAGAGGATGGTTGAAGGAATATGATCGTGATAAAAATTGTTTTCAAATGAAAGAAAGAAACTTAGTTCTTTCGTCTATCAGAAAAATTAAATTGATTTCTCAAAATATAACCTATTTACTAAGTATAATTTAGGCTTTAAGCCAATTTCTTTGCGTATCTCTCTTTGTGTGTGAACACACTTGGTAAGTCGATGGGAGAGAGAGCGAGAGAGAGAGGGAGCGTAACTAGTTTCTTTCTCTTATGTTAGGCTTAAGTAAAGTAATACAAATTACAATTATAAATATGTATTCAGTATTAAAAATAGAAACTGACTATAGCCAGAGATACAAGTCACTTCATCTACAAAAAAAACACACAACGAAAAACAGTACAAACTATGGACTAAGCACAGGTTTATTTAGATATGAGAAGGATTTTTATCTTAGACCTAATGGTGATAAATTTTTGAGATAAATCGTCTTTGGTACTTTGTAAATTAAACTTTAGAATCTTTTCATTCACACTTGATAAATATATTTTTTTATTATTTCCGAAGTTAAATTTATTGATTAGATGATTGGAAATAGTTGATATTAGCCTCTGGATCTAAGTGTTGTGTTGTTAGAGATTTGTCAACAAGATATGCCTGTAATTTTGAAGGAACTGGTGATCCCTAGGCGATCTGATACCATGTTATCCAATTTCACAGTTTAAGAAGTCACCGCTGAACTCTTCTGATTACAAATAGACTTTTATGGGAATGATTTTGTACGATCGATTAATTTTCGAGTACTGTAAAGTGTTTTGTTTGTCTTGTCTGTTTTAATGCTGATCGAGTTGTATCGATCGGGACACTATTTCAGAAGTTATTTTTAACTGACTTTAAAATAGGAACCCCAAAGTAATCGTAGAAATTTCTGGACTGTAAAGTGACAAACAACAGTCCAATAAAGTCTAAAATAGGACTATAGAATATTTCAAATACAATTAAGTAGAATTTGATGGTGTATAGTTTTCGACTGTATGGAGCTGAAACTTGGAGAACTACAACAACCACAATCAAGAAAGTACAAGTATTTATAAATAGCTGTCTACGTAAGATACTCAACATCCATTGGCCGGATACCATCAGCAATAGCCTTCTGTGGGAGAGAACAAACCAACTTCCAGCTGAAGAAGAAATTAGGAAAAGACGATGGAAGTGGATAGGACATACATTACGCAAATCGTCGAACTGCATCACGAGGCAAGCCCTAACTTGGAATCCTGAAGGGAAGCGAAAAAGAGGAAGGCCAAAGAACACATTGCGTCGGATAATAGAAGCAGATATGAAAGCGATGAATTACAACTGGACGGAGCCAGAAAGGATTGCCCAGGACAGGGTTGGATGGAGAATGCTGGTGAGCGGCCTATGCTCCTTCACGAGGAGTAACAGGCGTAAGTAAGTAAGTAAGTATAGTTTTCGACTTGATCTTTTATAGTTCACTGAGATGATGCTACTAGGGTGTCTTTAACAAAAACAAAACAACTGATCTGATCGTTATTCATTTTCTAATCCAAGTCTTATTATGACAAACCATCTTTCTAAACTAGAAAAACATCTTGAAGAATCCTAATATAAACCTTTTGTCTATCTAATAGTCAATATTACATAACATTCTTTTAGATTTCAAAATAAAATTCTCAGTATTTAAATTTATATCTAGGTGGTGGAGGAATTTGTAGCTCAGGTGGATGGTTTTGATGGAGTTTTGTTCTCTGGGCTGGATGGTTTGGTCGTGGAGCTTTCGTCGTTCCACAGAAAGCTCCATCTAGCTCACAGAACAAAACTTCATCATAATCATATCGAGGTCAATGTTTTCTTATCAGCTATTTCATAAATTTAACGATAAACTTATTTCAACAATCCAAAAACTGAAGATAACTTTATTATTTTTGATTGAGATTATGAACCGATTGATGTTAGACCACCATTGAAAACCTGGAAGCACTGGACGGCCGTTTCGTCCACAACCCCTAAACTGACAAATTTATTAGTTAAAAACACGAAGTTCAGCGAAGGGATCTCTTTTCAACGAATTTATTATCAAGCTGTACAATCTTACAATCGTTAAAGTACTAGTTCCGTGAGGAAATGTGAATAAGGAATAACTAAGATGATGTAATAGAAAGATTATCATACTGGGTAACGTAATACCAATACTAACAATAGACTTAATAAGTTTGTAACGTATTATAACGTGAATGTTGGGGGGGGGCGCGTGCGGAGACTAGTAATTTAATAATTGAATTCGTGAGTCAATTGAACCTAGACCAACATAGAAATCTTGGAAACACTGAATGGCAATTTCGTCCTAGTATGGGACTCCTCAGCAGTGCTCATCTCTGATCCCACTTGCAGAATTCGAACCTATGACCTATTGGTCTCGCGCGCGAACGCTTAACCTCTAGACCACTGGGCTGGCTTCTAACCGTGTTGGTGTCTGACTTCAATCAATCCACGAAATTACGCCACTGTTCAGTGTTTCCAGGCTTCCCGTGGTGGTTGAACTCCAATTGACTCGTAAATTAAACTATTAAAGTGTTTTTGATAGAATAATTGTATGTAATTAAAGGTAACTGTGGTGTGAAATTAATGAAGTGATATCATGAGCAATTATGAATAAAATAATGAGAATATGAGCCATAAGTAAAGGGAGAAGTGGAGTAATAATAGTAATACTAACAATAGTAATAAATTAATGCCAATGTAACGATAACGATAGGACACACTTCATCTTTATGCATAGTTCTGGCTTGACCTCATGAATGGTAAGAGTTTCGGCTATTTTTAGGAGTTGGATACAAAGAAATCTAGACGACTCGTATACACAACCTTAAAATCAAATTGTAGATCAGTAGATTGATTACAATTGATTAAATGTTCAAGTTTTACTGATAAGAATAGTACATTTTTTAATCAATAAAATAAAGTGATCAGTCACGAAATTGAACTAATTGTTTGTTTGCATAATATCTGAAAAGAACATGGTATATTCTCTGTTGTTGTTGTTTCATCTCTTCTCTATAATCTTATTTCTTCGTGCCAGTAATGTAACTTACTTTAGTTACTTACTTGCGCCTGTTACTTCTAATGTAGTATAGGCCACCGACCAGCATTCTCCAACACACTCTGTCCTGGGACTTCCTTTTCAGTTCTATACAATTGTTGCTCATCCTCCTCATGTCTGTCTCCATTTTTCGACGTAATGTTTCCTTTGGTCTTCGACTATTTCTTTAGCCTTGGGGATTCCATATGAGGGTTTGCCTTGTGATACAGTTGGTTACTTTCTTCAATATGTGTTCTATCCACTTCCACCACTTCTTCCTGATTTCTTCCTCCATTGGTATCTGGTTCGCTCTCAGGCACAGTAGGTTGTTGGTGATATTGTCTGGTCAACGGATCCGAATTATTTTGCGTAGACAGCTGTTAACAAACACTTGTATCTTCTGGATGATGGCTTTCGTGTATAAAGTAATCAATAATTTTTATATAAAAAATATAAATAAACTAAAATGAATTTCATGAAGATTTTTTTTCTAAATATAGTTCTTTATTAATCTCTAAGTAAAATTAAACTCTTACAACATTGTCTGACTGAGTAGGTGTGTATTATTTGGAATACTTAAATAAACTATTGAATTATAAAGAAAATAGATACAAGTCAAAAACTGTTACATCACGATAAGAATAATGAATGGTAACTTTTGGGATCCATTTATGGACGAATACTATACGTATATTTTTATCGTATAGTTGTTAAGTAATTAAACTATACATATTCATGTCCCTCTTATTATGAGCTTTATTTTGATCTATCAACTATTATTATACGATTTACCACTCTTGAATTATGCCTTGTCTATCAATTACTATCTCCCACATTCACAACCACATTTGGCTAAATCTTGTACAAATGTTGTTTCCTATTTTATGGTACGATGTGGTCTGTCTGGTTGATATATCAACTTAGTGTGTTTGAAATACATATCGCTGAGGCTGAGATTGATGTTGTGGACTTAACTGGCTGGTATAGGCTAGGCAGGAAGCAGGATCGATAAGGAATTTAGACTGCTCGTACGGGTTTTATGCGTCATTAATCCGATCGATAATTCATTGTTCTCTAATTGGCGTTATCGTTACTTTATATATTAATAGGGCACAGAGGCCACAAGTAATAACAAAAACAATTAAACCATATCTTAAAACTAGAAAGTACTAAACAAATGTTTTATTCAAATATGGAGCTCATCATTACAATGTGCATTCACTATTCTTCGGCAGGAAATCGAACCTAGAACCGTTGATTTTTACGAAAACTGATAATAATCATCTAATCATTGGATGACTAGTTTGAAGATACAAGTCTTGTAGTTTTAGTAAGAAGCTGTGACTAGTGAAGTTCAATCATGTCCAGTGTGATATAGTCGTTTAATGTGGTGAATTGATTGGAAGTAAATGCTAACGCTATTGAATACCAGCTCAGTTGTCTAGAGGTCACATAGTTGCGTACGAGATTGAAAATTCTGAATTCGGTTCCTGGTTGCATGGATCCACACTACTAAGGAGTCTCATATTAGGATGAAACGCTCGCTAATACCTCTAGGTTTGAATCATCGACTAGATCAAATTAGTTTTTGATTGAAAACTACTGAAATTTTCCCATCTCTATAAAATCCGACACCGATTAACTTATATAGTAAATTTGCAGAATCCTATTAAGGGTCATTTGATTGGATCAGCTTTATCTTGAAACAAAAATTACTTCATTGAATCCTGACTTAGAAAAACGGACAATGAGATGTTACATCATGTTTACTTAAGAAATGTAATGATAAGTATATAACTTGCTGTGTTTACATTAAGTGATTAATAGATTGAAATATCACAAATCCTGACATGGATATTACAATGTAACCATCATAAGACAAATCTTACGGTTGTATTCTGTTTTTATTTAATCTTCAGGTTATAAAATCAGTTTGACTTTGAGGATGTTCACGTAATATCTAGGACCAAATGACGGTTATAAACTAGCGTAAGGAATTAGAACTATCCAGATATTCAAGGAGGCCGCCGTGAATGACAGAAAATTAGATAAAATAAGAGTTTAATGCATAAAAATATTCACTTATGTAATGAATCTTTCATGCCGAAAAAAATACAGGATTATAGTGTACTTAGGTAGGTTTATCATCTATACTCCGACTCTTGATGGAGTTTTGTTTTCTGACCTAAATAGTTTAATCGTGGAGTTTTCATCGTTCTTCTGGACGACCTCATCAGCACAAACTTCAGTTAGAAGTTTATTGTTGCGAATAGTAATAATACTTACATCTATAATGGTTGGTATTCCACTTCTACTCCCCCCCATTGTTACATACTACTTATATATGGAAATCAAACATTTCAATATTTTAGTTACTAATGGAATATCAGATAATAAGATGCCGATTAAAATAGATTTTTTTTTGTTTTACTTCATTAAATAAATAAATTACGAAAGAATTAGTACGTAATCTTAAATTGAAAGTGAACTGAATAGTAAATTCATGATGAAGGAAATTACTACTTACTATGTAACTGTATATATATGAAACTATAGAAAACGTCAATTAAAACTATGGTAACCAGTGTGTACATATTGTATATTATAAAACAAAGTAACTAAATATAGTAAAGAAGGCATAAATTGAAGAAAGACTACACTTCTATAATTGATATTTATCTTATTTTATGATATTGTTTAAATGATTCCTCAATAGAATGAGGATTTATGGAGTTTAACAGTTGAATTCATGAGTGGATTTAAATTAAACTATCATTGAGAACCTGAAAACATTGGATTACTGATTTGTCTTAGTATGAGACTCCTTCACCCATGATCAGGATTTTCGGTCTCGAGTGCTAACGCTGAACATCGATACCGCTTAGTTGGTATCCAATGGTGTTAACGTCTAACTTTAATCGATCCATGATCTTGTGCTACTCTTCATCAATTATCGGAGGTGGATAACTGTCTCACACTCGACACGGATTGGACTCTACTAGTCACGAATTCGAGTCCAACGTGAGGGGTCGTGGATACGTACTTTTGAGAAGACCCATATTAGGACGAAGCTGCCGTCCAGTGATTCCAGGTGTTCGATAGTGGTCTAGTTTAGGTTGACTCATGAATTCAGCGGTAACGATTGTCAAACATATGAAAGTACTACTTAAAGTATATCATAAAGTTGGTCGAATAACCACTTTCCTAAAATTGATCTTTCATGGTACTTTAAAAATCAAGTGGGTATAATTAGAACTCACCGATTCAACCAATATCTGGCAACACGAAAAAAAGTAATAGATTTGGCCAAGAATTCACAAAATGTTTAAAGCTGAAACAAATACATATTTGATAGTTTACATCATGGAATAACAACCACTGAAGATTAGGAAGCACTGAAAAGTTATTTTAACCAAGTACAAACTTGTCAACAGTGAAAATTCACGGCCAAGACAGCAATCAGAATTAGGACCTTCAAGTTTAACTACTGGTCCACAACGTTTAGACCACTGACCCAATGTCTAATGGCTTGATTGTCCAGCCTCAACACCTAACACGGTTCAACTCCACCGGTCACGGCTTCAAACTAGAAATTTGGGAATCACCTCGCAAAATCAGTCACCAGTATTCACATGATTATTATATTCACTTTATAATGATTTATTGAGATCGTTAAATTTTATAATTAACAATACTATTTGAAAATAGTGAAATAACTCATTTAATTCACGAATCATTGTTACTACACTACTGAATAGTTCCATACTAAGATGATATCATTATCCAATCCCTTCTAGATTTTAATTAATATTTAACAAAGATTAATCCATAACATCTCGCGTGATGGGCTCGTGGATGTACACTACTGAGGAGTCCCACAATAGGACGAAATGACTGTCAAGTGCATCCATGTTTTCCATGGTGATCTAGCTTCAATTAACTCATGATCTCAACTATTGAAATTACTTACTACAACTCCTACAATACCCCTTCTGATAGTGAAATAACTCATTTAATTCACGAATCATTGTTACTACACTACTGAATAGTTCCATACTAAGATGATATCATTATCCAATCCCTTCTAGATTTTAATTAATATTTAACAAAGATTAATCCATAACATCTCGCGTGATGGGCTCGTGGATGTACACTACTGAGGAGTCCCACAATAGGACGAAATGACTGTCAAGTGCATCCATGTTTTCCATGGTGATCTAGCTTCAATTAACTCATGATCTCAACTATTGAAATTACTTACTACAACTCCTACAATACCCCTTCTGATAGTGAAATAACTCATTTAACTCATGAATCATTGTTACTACACTACTGAATAGTTCCATACTAAGATGATATCACTATCTAATCCCTTCTATAGATTATAATTAATATTCAACAGTCTGCACCAATACTCTTTACTAATAATGAATAGGAGTACAAATAAGTCAGTAACTCACATAGAAAATATGGTATTTCCAACGGATTAACAACAAAGAAAACAATAATGAAGTTTGACTATAACAAAAATTATGGGAGAGTTTTTTTCTTTTCTTTTTCAAATATGGTTGTGAATAATGACACTATTTATTGATTTATTTGTTTATTTATTGATTTATTTGTTTACTGTATCATGTTTCGAAATAACAAATGATTCATCACTTTCACAGTTCAATGAGTCATGAATTTGGTTACATTGTAGATTTTTAGATGAAGTTAATTACAAGCAAAGATGGATGGTGATTAGCAATAAAATTTAGGACGTGTGTTTCGTCCTATTTACGACTCGTCAGTTGGATATACTTGCATCTGAGAGTTGATGTTCACTTTGGGACTCGAACCCAGTACCGTTCGGTTTAAACATTATCGTGGTATCCACTTAGCTACTGAATCCTGATAGTCATCTGCTTGTGCAATTGGGTGAAGTTATACTCACTTGGTATTGTTTACTTGTATCTTCCAATTGTTATTTAGGACTGTAGTTAATAATACTCTTATGATACGCTTATATTAATTTGAGATGCAGATAAATTCAGCTGACGAGTCCGAAATACGACGAAACGTGCATCCCGGATTCCACTGCTAGCCACTATCCATGTTTGTTATAAAGCTTGTGACTTCAGGCAATATCAAGGCAGTCCGCACAGGATGCACATATGCCAACAAGAGACTGATCAATTGCAGTCCTAAATAACAATGGGAGGACACAGGTAGATGACACCAAGTGAATATAAGTTATTTATAGTTTTATTTGTTAAAAATATATGAAAGACGTCAATTATTCAAAAAATCATAGTATTGATCAAATATGATCTATATGGTTCTCTGTTGTTTGATCCGATGACGCTTATATAGCTTTGTGTATGATTTTGTGTGGGAATATTATGCCAACTATAACCAATTTTTTGAACACGCATAGA